TGAGACTGGTTTGTTTCAAAACTGAACTCATATTATTGCTAACTTCGAGCTAAATAGGAACTTAAAGCCGCTGTTCACTCTAGAATTCATGCTGCTTCATAATAAAGCAGAGCATATTATGGCATAACAAAGCGCCTAAGAGTATGCAAGGCGAGCAAACAATGCCGATGTCCGCATATTTTCCACATTATTCAAATTGTTGTTATGCACGCGCGCGCGCGCTCTCTTGCTGGCGTCAGAATAGCGCCAGCAGCAGAAACCACAGCCAGGGGCTGGGGGAAAGGGGAAAGGGGAAAGGGGGAAGGGAGGTGGAAATGGGATAGCAGGCGCGTCTACGGGCGACACTGTGGCAAAAGCTGCTTGCGAAGCCTGAAAGTATGCCACAGCGCCCCATAATGGCAGCCGCAAATGTGTTGCAGGCAACGGTCGCCGTGCAACGCCAATGCGACACAACAGCAAAGAAATCAGGTGTGCGCGTTTGCCACAAAGCGCACACACACGAACACAGAAAGCTGTTGGTATGCAATGGCTTTGCCAGTGTGTGTGTGTGTGTGTGTGTGTGTGCAGAAAATAGTTGCCACACGCCACATTGCACGTTGAATGTTGAACGGCGCACGTGTCGAGTTCATTATCGCTAATAAAATGCAACCCAAAATTGCAACAATAGCAACAACAACAACTAAACACAATGGCACAAATAAGCGTCAACACACACACACACAAACACACACACAGACACACACGCACCTATGCAGCAGCTGCATTATGCGAAGAAGAAAGGGAACCAAACGGATTTTACCGTTTCCTACTGCCACTAAAGCCCTTCTGCGTGGCAATAGTTGCTATTTTTTTTTTTTTTTTAGTTGTTTCTGTTGTTGTTGATGCCGCTGGCGCAGCGCGCACTTACGTCTTTGGTGGCCCTTGCCATCTAACTGGCATAAGGTGTGTCTCAAAGCAATGTCTCGCTCACGCGTGCAGCTCGACAATTTCGATATAATATCATAAATACGAAATAACCTCAACTCAATTTAAAGGCACTGGTAATTTACTGAATTCAATGCATTGCTAATTCTTAATACGAGCTGAAAGTCCTGGCAGCTAGTGCTCCAAATTTAAGTAGGTTAAGAATTAATTATTAACCTTCTCTCCTATAAATAAATAAATAAAATAATTCTTAATAATAATTCTAAATTCAACAAATGAAAATAAACAATACTGTATACTCCTTAATTGTAATACTTGTAACATCACGAAAGTAATGTTTGCACCCGCCTGGATCATCCCGACTTAATTTCTACTCTTTACTTCAAATATCATTTCTATTTCAGTACATTTCCGTAGAGAAGTTACTGAACAGATGTGAACAGCGCCTAATTTTCTTAATTTAAGACGGAACAGGATGAGCCCGATTTCCATGGCTTTTGGGACCTTTTAATAATCTTTTTTATTATTTATTTTTATGTACATATGTATATACAATTTATTAAAGCAGTATTCTGCTACCAATTAATAATCAGATTATATATACACAGCTCTTTTGCTCCGCTCTTATTTAGGAGCTACACCTTTTTGCTCTAAAAAAGGGTTTTGCAGCTCGTCTGGCGCTCAAATTATTTTTCTTTAATCGCCATTTGACAGTTGAGCTGCTTAATTCCAAATGACTGGCATCTTTACATTCTAAGGTTATTGCTGGAGATGTTTTAAAACGGTTGTGCAGAGACATTCGAACTAAATTTCTGTCCTGACGTTCACTAGTCATTCTCGGTTTCTTAATATTTTACCTAAATCTAAATAAAAGATGATTCTTACATACATTATTTGCAATATTTGAAAAGTTTTGATTTTAAAGCTAATAATATCAATTTTTTGGATTTCTGTTAAAACCATCGTTTTCCCTACAAATTGACTTATCTAAGCAATTTTTGCACCTAAATGCCATTAGCGATTCGAAAGAAAAGCGAAAATGCTAACAAAATAACCCTCGGCTTTTTTTTATGAGCACGAGTGTATGTATGTATAGATCATATTGATGCTCCATTTCGTCCCCATTCTAAACCTCAAAGTAGATCCATGAGACAGTTAAAGTTAATACCTTACGTACATTTTACTCATCTCGCACTAACTAACGTAAATAGTGTCGTTCATAAGTAATTAGGAAGGATTGAAGGATATGATCGAAATGTGTTAAAGGACTGCTGCAGATAATGCTAGCTAGTATATCTGTTTTTAAACAACTGCGTGTTCTTTTAAACTGTGTATACAGGCCATCAAGGAACTATTTACCTCTTCTACTCAACAGGTGCTCTAATGATAATACTCTTTATTTTGTACTCTCAATTGAGCTCTCCCTCCCCTCACTGAAATCTTTTATTTTCAACTACCTCCGGAAGACTCTTTGATCCCTAGTGCTGTGAATAGGGGTATTGCTTTCTTTCCCGCCGAGTCAATAATTCTCCACCTTTTAGCTCTTAATTATATTTATCATTTACTTTAGTTTATTATTATTTGAATTTTATTTCAGCCAGGAACTGTTCCATTTTGTTTGATCTTGTAGTATTGTTATTTCTTCATTTCTACTATATTTATTTTTTGTGAGATCTAATAACGTCTCTGACTACTCTGTGCTGCGAATCGGGGCATAGCTGGCTGTTAAATTGCCACATCGAGTCGGATTCGTTATTAGATATTTTTGTAATTTCAATACACTTTTTTATTTTTTAGTTTTACTTAGTTGAAGTTCTCTACTTATTGCATTGTATGGCATTTTTTGTTTCATCGACAGCTTTGTTTATTTATGAAATAAATAAAACAAATTAAATAAAGAAAAATCAAAATATTACAACAGACCTTATAGACAAACGTAACGGGCAGGGGAATAGAAACTGGCAGTGACACTGAGGGGTTGCGGGGTTGGCTCAAGCGGGAGGCAAGTCATAGCTCAGTTATTGGCAATACTTGTGTGGCGACCCTCAGTTGGCTGCATTTGCATTGGCATTTGCCGGTGTAGGGTGCGCGCGTATAGCCCGCCATTAGGCGCTTTCAAATGCCTCTTTATGAGGCATGGCATTATAAATTTAAATGATATGCCGCAACAAAACTTGTCGCATATTATTTATGAATGCCAAGCGAAGAAGAAATAAAACAAAATGGAACAGTTTCTGGCTGCGGGCAGCTTAAAAATGTTAAACAAGCAGGCATTACAAAAAACAAAATATATTTATATACGAGTATATGTATGAGTGAGTGTAGAAAGAAGTGCTGCATACATTTGGGCGCAGCGGTGCCTAGGCAGCGACCACACGCTGTGAACGGACTTTGCAGCAGCTTTGGGGTCTAGGCTCAAGATTTATGACTTTGCGGCAGGCATAGGCATGCCGAGGAGGGGCGAGCCAAGTCGCCAGTAAGGGCAACAGGAAGTGAGCGTCCAGTGCGTCTCTCTGTCTATCAGTCTCTCAGTCTCTTAGTCTCTCTGTCTGTCTGACTGCCTCTCTGTTTTGTTTGCTGCCAGGCAATGTGACAATGCCGCGCACAATTTTATTTTGCTTGCTTTTTGTTAAGCACATATGCGTGCATGTGTAGCATCAACATGCCCGTAGGCGCAGCGGCGCGTGCATAGTTATGTATATGGATAAATTATAGAGGCCAGTGGCTTGCTGAGCTGAGCTCGACTGGGCTCGGCTGGACTGGACTGGGCTGGGAACATGCACATGTGGGGCGACGAAGTGTGAGGCGTGGGCAGTGCAGAAAGTACGGCCGGAAGTTACGAGGTCTGTACGTTCAGCTGGGCCACAAAATCATTATTGAACGCACAAATAGTTCAAATGTAGAATGAAAGTTTTTAAACACGGAAATTCTCTTTAAAAGGAAAGACAACAACTGCGAATTCTTTATAGCATACAGTGGTGTCTAGCACTCTCTTTAATTTATATTCAATTATTTATATTATTTTGTGATTAATTTAGTTTCATTTATTTATATTATTTTGTGATTAATTTAGTTTCATTTATTTATATTTTATTGTGATTAGCATCTTCTAAATTGTTGTTATTATGGGAACCTTGCTTCAACGCCTGTTTATCATTTTACAGATATTTTCTTTTTAATACACAACCGGTCGTATCGGATTGAAAGTATGTTTTGGGTTGCGGTTAGTTGTGTGCTCCATTTATTTACTCTTTGCAAATATTTTAAAATTATTTCTAACACTTCCTGTGTTTGCTCAAAAGAACTTTCCAAGTCTTCTGCTTAAAAAATTACTCTGAAGTCGTGTCCATTCGCTGCCTAGCCAAACAGATTAATGAATTTGAATGAATTCCCCTGAAATTCTTGTCAAATTTAAAGTTTTTCGATATTATAGGAATACAGAAGTTGTTCATTATAATATAAGGCATAATGAGACAGCTGTAGCACTGATTGGACAATGTAAAGGATAATTTAATGAAATAATGCTAAAACTAATTCGACATCGTAAGTCCTTAAGGCAGCTTCCTCCAAGAAAAAGGTTTTGGTTTTAGATTCTAAATGTTCATTACTATGATAGCCAGTTACAGAAAAACGATTTCAATTCGAAGAAAAAGGTGACTTCTGTAATTTGTGATCCTATATTTAGTAAATTAAGAGCATTTCGTGATGGCCTGTTGCCTATTTATGGCTTTGAAGTTAAAAATTAAAAAGAATGTGCATTTAAAACTTTTTAAAGTTTTCATTTAAAGGCGTTTCTTCTCAAAGATTTCATTAAAATAAACAACTATTTCATATGTTTGACTTATCCTCTGGACCTCCCCTGTGACTAGCCAGATACTACAACCTCATCATAAATAAAATAAATTAATTGTCAAGTTTATTTAACCAATTTAATGATTGTCCACGATGGACAGTTTTAAATAAAACACACTCTGCTAATAAAAAAAAAAAATTTTACTCAAATAAAACTAGAGCGTTTATTGAGCATCTCTCTTATTATGATAAAAAGCTGGCTATAGAGTCCATAGTTCTCTTACCTTACGCAGCATATCATCCAGAGAGTCCACATCGAGACCGGCGTAGTTGTTGTTGAATTGACTGGAACAGCTGGAGGAGGTGCTGGTGTAGCGCTTGCGCCGGCCCAGCGCTGGCGAGTTGACGAGCGAACTGGGACCACTGGAGCCATAGCCGAGCTGGGCGGCCATCAGCGGATATAGTGAGTGGTGCGTCGGCGGCATGTGGTGGTGGGGCGGTGGCACCGAGGTGGTGCTCACACACGCTTGGCAGCAGGGTGGCAGACATTGGTTGGGATTCGATTGCTGTTGAAGTTGCCGCACGGCAGCCAGCGGTGAGGGCGGTGCCGTATGATGCAGTTGATGGTGATGATGATGATGGTGTTGCTGCTGTTGTTGCTGTTGCTGTTGCTGCTGCTGATGGTGATGCAGGAAGGCAGCATGCTGTTGCTTGGCAGGCGAGGATGTGCCCGATGAGCTGTTCGATGTGGTGGCTACCAGTGCCGGCATGGCTGTTATGTCCAACGTTGTCTCCAGCATTGTTAGAGTAACTGCCGCTCCACTTGTTTCTGTAGTTGTCGATGTTGTTGTTGTTGTTGTGGTGATCGATGTGCCAATCGCTGCTGCTGCGGCTGGGTCTGGAAAGCTTGAGTTGGGTCTGTCGCCTCTCTCGCCTCTCTCGCCTGGCGAATGGCCACTTTTGCGCAAATGTTTCGACTCTGCCGCTGACGTCACGGATGTAGTCGTCGTTGTTGTTGTTGTGGCATCCATCAGCATCAAAGTGCCAGCATCCATTTCACTTCAGTCAATTGCGACGCCGATGTCTTCTGTTCGTTTACACGCTGTTTATTACAATTGTCTTTCTGGCTCGTGCAATTTATTTATAATTATTTTAATGCAACTGGCGTTGCATTATGATTTAATTGTAGGCGCATGGCCTTTGTTGTTGATGCTGTTGCTGTCGCTGTTGCAGCTGTCTTTGTGTGGCAAGCGCCCAGCGCTCATTAAACACTCAGCGCTCAACACTCAATGCTTGGCTAGAAGTGAAGTGAAAAATTGCTGCATACTTTTGTGCGTTTCATTCGCACCCCCACAATGCCCCACAATTGCCGTTGTTGCAATTGTTTTAAAATTGCATGATGCTGCCGCTGGTGTTGCACATTTTTAGGCCATGCGTAGTGCACATTAAGCTGCCAGGCCAGATGATTAATGGCATGTTATAAAAATAACGGCAAACACCAGTCTCGTGCGGCGACCGCAAATACACAGCAACAGGAATACCATTCGCATTCGCATTCGAGCAGAGCAGAGCAGAGCAACAACAATGGCAAAAATATTGTTGTCATTAACCAGTGGCCAGTTGGCCAGCAATTGTCAAATGAGAACGCCACAAAGTAGGCAATGCATTTGCATATACCACACACATTTAAGCCCCTTCCCAGCAATCCCAACAACTACTACATACATGTACATGTACATGTACTATGTATGCTCTTATATATGTGCTTAAAAAAGTGTATATACTACTGGAGCCTTGCCCTTTAGTGGCACTGCGTGTCCCTTAGCATATGCTTAAATATTGGTCGGATCAAAGCAAAATGACAAAAAATGCCAATGCTAGCTAACTGACAGCCAATACCAATGCCAATGCCAACGCCTTCACCTCCAGCTCTACCTCCATCTCCATCTCCACCTTCATGCGCACCTCCACATCGACTCCCACTCTTTAGCTTCGCGTACATCATGCACATAAATCTATGCTCATGTTCAATGTCTGCGTGCAGGCGGGTGTGTGTGCGTCGCTAAATATGCAACAAAACATGTCAGTGCGCTGTCTGCCACATAGCTTGCAACTTGTTCTTGTTATTGCTGTTATTATTATTTTTTGCTCAACGCTTGACTTGATGGCGACCAGACGATGGCCAGACAGACGATGGCGACCAGCCATCGCAATTTACAACAAGCAGCAATCAATTCCATAGCATAAATAACTCAATTTTCAACAGCAGCAATAACAACAACAAAAGCAACAACAGCAACAACAACGTCCTGTTTAGCCCTGGGTATTGGCTTCAATAAATTTGTGCAGCTATTTAGATGCATGAAACATGTGAAGCAATTGAGCAGCTGAAGTTAAACTAACGCTTTGATTACGGCTGCTTCAAGAACACAGAGCTCTCCAACCAGAAATTGGAATACTATACTACATATACGAATATATGGACTGCCTTATCGGTCAGCGCTTTGTGCTTTAGGCAGTAAAAAAAATCTAAGCATAAATCAGTGCTATAGAGTTGAAACTGGGAATTATTCGTAAACTATTTACACTTTGGCAATAATAGAAGTTTCTCTATTTCAGTATTAGATGACAAGTATTTGAGTCAGTTAGGAACTCAAAAGACTTGAAAACCACTGAAGGATGACAGAGAAATTAAACAAAAACAAGTAAATAATATAATTAGGTTTGTATTTTAGAGAATTAAAGCAACAAATTAGTATTTGCCCAAATGTTTTAGCACAGAGAAAACTCTTTCGACAGCATAATGATTTATTCTAATCAATTTATATAGTTTCATAAGAATGTGTTCGTTGTTTCACAATGTATATACTTAGTATTTATACCAGTACCATAACAAGTTAATAATATAAGCAATTAACAAATCCAGGAAAACATGCCATCTATAATAACCACAATTTCTCCCACAATTCCCAAAAGTAAAATGGATCTGAGTGCTCAGCCGCACTGGTATTAGGGGCAACGACACAGCTGACTAAATAGAAAAAATTCGACAAATCTACCACTAATATGCTAGCCCAGAGACATTATCTAATAACTTTAAGAGCACCAACTATAAAACCACTCAAGCACGCTTCAAAACACATCATCTTTGTCGAAGCGAACAAATCAGAAAGCAAACTTTCTAAAAAAAAACCACTGGCTTAAACTTGTAGGCACAAACCTAACATCTGAACTCTCTATCGATTCGACTATATTGTAGAAAGAACCTTTCAACTTTTCTAAATCTAAACTGTTTTTAGAACTTGCTGCGTCGCTTTCCAGAAAATATTTAATTTTCCAACCAACTGAGATCACATCTCCCTTAAGACAAATGCTACTTTAGAAACCATAGAATTAATAATCTGGTTCTCAATTAAATTTAAGCTACGAGTATAAAATGCTATCTTGGTGGTCTCAGCTTTAATACAATATAATAAAACTAATATGTTAATATAATAAAACTATTTCATACTGTTACATATTTTTTGAACAAAACAAACGTAAATGTAGACAAATGTTAATATTAATTAATATTCATTCAATAGCTAATGGGGTATAGATTCATCTTTCAATACAATAAATATTCATTAATGATCGGCCAAAGAATTCAAGAATATAGTTCACACTCGAAGAATAATAATAGTTATTCATTTGTTGCTGATGCGAGTTTTAAAATCATAAGACACTTTAAGTGTAGCTTTAGACTAAAACGGGGGAAACCCCTTTCTGCAAAATATGAACTAAACCTGTCTTTTGGCGCCACAACTCAAATAAAATGGTGATGTGAAAAATATTCTATTTGTACCGAAACTCTTCACAGACAAGTGTACTGAATGCAGTGAAGGACTAAAATGTTTTTGTGCTTCGCCGAAAGAAACGTCTTGGAGCCTAATTTTATGCCATTCTATTTTTGGCACGTGGACATACATGTTCTATATGCTTGTAAATTGTTGGCTTACAGACAGGCTTCAGTTTTTGCGCTTGTAAATAAAATAGCGCTTGCAATTCTGAGTGCCAATTAGTTGCGTGTTCATCAGAAATGCAGTAACAATGCTGGCCATTAAATCACTGGAGTGCATACTATAGTATATGTATTCGTATTTGTAGTTATATGAGTGCTACCGATCAGGGGGCGGGTCTTCTTTTGCTGTGCTGTTGCTGGTGCCCTTAAATGTTCTGGGTAGGGCTAGGGATAGGGACAGGATGAGGAGCTGGCAAAAAATGGCAAGCGACAGCAAGAAAAGCAACGCATAGCCAAGCATGGTAAGGCAAGGAAAGGCAAGGCAAGGCAAGGCAAGGAAAGACGAGGCAGACAGCACAAGAAGTACAGCAAAAGTGTCCAGACGACATACTGGGCTCTATATTTTCACGATATGATGGTAGTCATATGTGTGTGTGTGTGTGTCTATGAATATATGTATATATACAAATGTATGGCAGATAACTAACTGGCCATGTGTGCAAGTTGAAGTTTGTATCGTCCATTTAACAATGTGTGCCACAATGCATGGTGATGATACTCGCATACATGTGCAGGCATGAAACATGTTTAGCATGTCTCTCTCTCTCTCTCTCTCTCTGTCTGTGTGTGTATGTGTGCTTGTGTTTGTGTGTGGCAGACATTGGCCAACAGTTAGCTGCCCTTGTTGGTATTGTTGTTCTTGTAAGGACAAGCCGTTTTGGAATCTATATGGGCAACCATAATTCACTAGAGATAATATACATATGTCTGCCTGCCTGCCTGGATGGCTGGCAGCCTGGATGGCCGATCTGGTTGCCATTGCCGGCGTCTAACTAACAACATAGACAGACAAGCAGTGAATGCAATTGCTTTGCACACACACACACACATACAATCGGGCACATAAACAGATATGTCTCAGAATAGAAGCACTCATACGTATGTATATATAAACATATAGTACATATATTAATGACACGCTGCTTGACTTAAAGCGAACAGCAAGGCTTAAAGACAGGCTAGAGAAATTGCCAAAGGCTACTCGCACAATATGTTTTATGCATTTATATACCTACTACGAGTACTATATACTTGTATGCATGAAAATAGACAAACTACTTATGTACATGTGTTAGGCTGTTGTTTGATGTCTGCTCGATTACGAATGCGTACGGGGGAGGGTCCTAAAATGTCTCGAAATAAATTAGTAGAACATGTCAGGCAACATTTGCATTTGCATTAAAATGCAATTGTTTTTTTTTTCAAATTTCCGTAATATATAGTATAGTACATTATTAAAAGCCCAAAGGTAGGCGCTATAT